TCACATCACATCGCACCGGCACTCCAGCCCGAAATCCTGCGGGTCCGGTCCCGTCCCTAGCCGCATGCCGTTCTGCACGTCCAGGATGCGCCTGACGTAGTTGCGGTCGTAGACGCCGCCGAGCGTGTGGACGGGGCACGGCACGGCCGACCAGGCGTGTTCGGCCTGGCGTTCGCGGTGGGTGTCGCGGCCGGTAAAGAGCTCCCATACACTGGGTTTGAGGGCCGATGTGCCGTACCCAGAGGACCCGGAGCCGTAGCCGGCGCGTGTGGCGTACCCCGAAAAGAAGGAGGGACAGGTCGAGAAGCCCATGCCGGGGCCGCAGGGCTGGGCGATGGCCAGCCAGCGGCATCCGCACAGAGGGTGGTCGTAGTAGGCTGTGCGACACATTGCGGGGGCAGAGTGGCGTTTGTTGATGTTGTCGTAGAGACCTCTGGGCAAAATGATGTTGGCGACGGAAGGGAAGAGAAGAAGACAAACCGACAAAGATATCGTTGCCAGAAAGGCAGACGCGTCACTGTGCAAAATGAGATGAAACGGAAGGAGCCTTCGGTGACGCAAGGAACAATGCAAATTGGGTATTCGAAAGGAAAAAAAAAAAAAAAGGAAAAGAAAAAGGGCGCAGGCTATCAACAATACCAGCACAATCTGCCAGCTATATACACTTGTGTGACCATCACCTCTCATCGGCTGTCTCGTCCAGGTCCGTCATGGTCCCGGTGTGCTCGGCAAGCACGGCCTCGTCCTCGTCAATCACCTCGTCGGCCGCCTCGTGCGCAGCGTCGACGGCCTCTTCATCGACATCCTCGCCTTCCATGTCGTTGCCGTCCTCCACTGCATTTTCGTCGGCGTCGTCAACGTTGGTCCCTTTGGGGCCGCCTCGCACGCTTGGCGCTCCGCTTGGCGCTCCGCTCGGCGCTCCGCTCGGCGTGCCCAACAGCTGTGCCAGCATTCCTTCAATGCGCTGCATCGATGCCTCCAGCCCGTCCAACCGCGTGCGCACGTCCTCGTCGACGGCCGTCGTCGGAGCACTGCCGTTTCCGTGCCCATTCTCGTCGGCCTCCATCTGCAACAACCGCTTCAGCTTGTCCGGATCCAGGCCGGGGAAGGCAATACTGTCCCGTCGGCTGGTACCCGTGGCTTTGGGTGGACGAGGCGTACGGGCACCGCCCTGTGATGCGGCTTGTGGCGGTTGCGCCGTCGGGGCCTCGGCAAACTTGACGGTCGAACCGCTCCGTTGCAGGCCACCGGGGCCAGTGCTGCCTGCATTGGATCCTGGGCGGGCCTCGGTGGACGCACCGTGTTGTGTCTGCCCAGGCTGCGCCTGGGTCTGCTGTTCCTGCAGACTCTGCGCTTGCAGCTTCGCCAGTGTCGGCACGGCGTCCGTCGGCTGCTGGCGGGTAAACTGCCGTCGGATCAAATGCCGTGTCAGGTCGTCATCCGCCGCAATCTCCTCCTCGACGGAATCGGGCGGCGGCATGTCAAAGACAGCCTGGATGTCCGAGTGGGCCGTGATGCGCCACCGGCCCCAGAACGAGTCGCGGGCCGCGCGAGCACGGGCGGCGGCGTATGCGGGGGACGTGGGGTGGGCGGTCAGGCGGCCGCGGGTGGACGTGGGCGGCCGGTTGAGGCCGGCTTCGGTGGAGCGGTAGGCCGAGTAGTGTTTCGAGTAGGGCGAGGAGGGCCACAGCAGGCGGCGTTCGGCAATGGCAATGACGAGCAAGATGGGCAGGTTGATGGACCGCACGCAGGCGACGTGGATCTTGTGGAACCAGCGGGGACTGACGAGAAACTTGAGGGGCACAAGAACAAAGAGGGCCAGGATGTTAAAGGGCGGCTGGTAGGCAAAGATGGCGTCGCTCTTGACGCCCTCGAGGGTGAGGACGGCGCGGCGGTACTGGATCTCGGCGGTCGCGTTGGAGACGATGGTGCTGAACGTGTTGGACAGCATGGACACGAGGATCGTCAGGAACAACGTGTTGCCGAGGAACGCAAAGGCCACCATCAGCGACGGACCCAGCAGCCAGTGGAACTCGGTCGAGCGGTGGATGCCGGTGCCGTCGAGACCGAACCAGATGTACACCATCCACTTGCCAATCATGACCACGGAAAACCGGCCCTCGCCAAGCCAAGAGAGCGACAACAGGAATCCGGCAAAGCACCACGCGGCCAGGAACGTTAAGAGGGTAAAGTCGGCCACCATGGAGCGCAGCGAGACGAACAGCAGATTGTCAGACAGTACAGTAAACGCGATGCGCGGGATGAGCACAGGCGCGGCCAGAGCCATGACGTCCAGAGCCTGCTGGCCGGCACCGCCGGGTGCGTTGCCCGTGCGGAAACCCTGGATGCGCAGGAGGAGGTAGACCCAGTAGACGACAGCATAGGCCACATCCAAAAACGACCACAGGTTCTGCGTATAGACATGCCAGCCGTGCTCCAGAATGGTGGCAAACTGGTCGAGGACCCAGCCAAAGGAAAAGATGGAGAAGGCAAGCTCGAGGCCGCTGTAGCGCGCGGCGTCCCGCTCGGCCATGAAGCAAAGGTACAGGACCAGCAGCGTGGTAAACTGCAGCGACTCGAGGATGTTGCGCGTGCGCGGCACAATGAGGCGGTACTGGTTGAGGAGGGACGCGCCGCGCGGGTCGTAGAGCGCAATGGGCTTCTGCTTGTAGCGGTCGGGGATGAGGTTGAGAAGACTCGAGGGCGTGTACGTGACGCGCCCCACGTAGATGGCCTCGATGACCTTCTGGCAGGCCGTGGACGACAAAAACAGCTTGGCCTCGCTGAGAATGGCCACCTCGAGCGCGGGCAGCGACCGCCGGTAGAGCCACGCCGCATCGTGCCCTGCCGGGTCCGCGGCGTCCTCGGCATAGCTCGGCCGCACGGCGTCGGGCGCATTCTGGAACGGCTCGAAGCCGGCCACCAAGATGTGCGACAGCACCAGCAGCCCCTCGAGCCCCTCGTTGTCCTCGTTGAAGCGCCGCAGGATGCGGTGGGCAATCAGCTCGCACAGCGTCGCCCGCGTAAAATTGACGTTTTGGCGGTTGCTGAGGTGCGCCTGCTCGTGCAGGAAGCGTGCCCGGTTGACCAGTAGACAGTAGACAATGGAAATGTCGTCGAGCTCGTACAGCTTGTCGACGAGCGGGCGGACCACGGACAGGTTGATGCGCATGTCGTGCAGCTGCTCGGGCGACAGGTAGTCCTCGACAACCGACACAATGTCGCGGCGGATGCGGTGGATGTTGGTGTAGACGGGCAGGTGGGTGTGCGGATTGGTGGTGCACGAGTAGATGGGGTCGGGCTCGAGGTCGTGGTTGAAGGTGCGCCGCATGGGATGCAAGAGCGGCTGCCGCTCGTCGTGGTCGGTGTTGGTGGCGTACGACGCCGTAGACGTCGCGGTGTCGGACCGTGAGCGGCCATGACTGCTGGCCGGGGGCGGCGTCCGGGCCGGCCGGGGTGTACGAGCCGTCGTGTTCGGCGATCGTGGCGGCGGCGGTCCCGATGCTGTCCCAGATCCGGATCGGGACCCAGACCCGACGGCCGTGCCGGTACTCGTCCCGGACGCCATTCCGTCGTGTACACTCTCGGTCGTCACGTTTCGGCGCAAAGGGTGTGGTCGGTGGGATGGGTGGTGTGGTGCCGGTGAGGCTGCAGCCAATCCGCGTTTCGACGGCTGCATCGTCGAGGACGAAGGCGGCGGTGGTAGATGGTACTCGGTGGGGGTGGGCTCGAAACAAGAAAGGAATCGTTGAGAGCTCGCGCTGAGGGCGTACACGTCCGCCGTCGACGTCGAAATGGGTCACGCGAGAGGGGCCACAACGTTGGCCATGATCAAGGTCAAGAGAAATCAAGAGAGAAAGTCGATGACGCAGACCAAAACAGAGGAACGAGGCGATAAGCGAAACAGGGCGAGAACGACGGCGTACGACTCGGCGAAAAGGCCGCAGATCGGTCGAAATCAACACAGACGATGACAGAGCACGACGGTAGCAGCAGATGGCGCGGTGGTGGTGGTCAATTGTGGTGACAGGTCAAGATGGGAGACAAATGTACGCGACAAAACTCGACGTTGAATGGATGCAGAGATCCCTTATCACCTGTCGTTGAACGTTGTATTGCAACGGCCTTTGGCAGTGACGCAAAGGCTACAACAGGAAAGAGCAAGTGGACTGGACTGGCCACTAAGGCGAGACAAAACTGTTGTGTGGCTAGCGGCACCATCTAGAGTCTAGAGGCCTTGGCTTAGCTGCAGCAGCGCCTCGTGGTGGACTTCAGAGGCTCAGTCTGGACTCTAGGCTTGGCCTGGCAGGCCTGGCAGTATCACTGAGATGCATGCCCACTAAGGCAGTTGGTCATCTATGGCTTCGACAATAGTATCGGCACGACCAACAACATACATGTCCATCCGAAGTAAACAGACGAGTTTCGTGGATATTGGGAATAATTGAGACAAAACCTGCCGATGTATTAGAAGCCAAATCCAATACATCGATTGCCTCGTCGGAAGTTAACAGCTTCTCACATGTTAATTTGTAGATCAGCAGATATAATTAGACTTCCAACACTTTGGTAAAACAGATTGGTGGCTTGTACTTTAATGATTTGGCGCAGAAATCATAAGAAAAGTCGAAGGCGGCCTGTTGTGTTTTCTTTCTTCATGTGTAAAAACGGGTAAAAGCCGCAAGCACACACATACAAAAAAAGAATGAAAATACGATGAGGCGATGTAAAGCGATGCAAACCGAAACCAGTGCGTCAGTTTGTCATACAAGAGTCCTCAAAACATGCGGCACAGTCCAGGAGGATGACTATTTGTGCAATCGCGGTGCATACATAGCAAGAGAATAAAGTGAATGGGAAACGGCGGCTTGAATTGGGCATGCTGCATGCATTTGTTGCATGTTGTGTTACCTCGGCGAACAATACTCTGCGAACGAAGAACAGTCACAAAATTCGAGGGCAGAGTGCAGCATGAGCAGCTGGGTGGAAACGAAACTCACATGCAACTTCTTGCTCGAACGGGCTTCCTGCAGATGCAAGTAACCGTACTGACCCGCCATCACAGTGGTCACCGTATCCAAAGGCTCCTATACGAAGCAGACGTCCAGCCACCGGTCTTTCTGCGGTCCGCCCGGAATTATCGTGTGTCCGCGGAGAAGAATTGTTGTCCGAAACAGACAAGTCAGATCGCAATCGAGGCGGAGACCGGCTGCCTGTTTGTGGAAATCCTGGAAGCTGACAGAAAGGGAAGAAAGGACGCCGCACAGGCCGACAACGAACGACAACAATCAGACAAACTAGTTGCACTTGCCGTTGTCGTGTGTACGCTTACATACATGGATATGTCAACAAGTACCCTTACGGCAGTAAACAAAGCAGAGACGCAGGCCGTAGCGAGGAGTGTCGGTGTGCTCGTTTTCGGCTAGACGCAGGCTCGGTGTGATGGGGTGAGAAAAATGTGGCTTGAGAAAACAAACGAAATGGAAAGCATCGAAGGTGCGAGAGATTTGACTCAGGGCCGTGTCAACGAAAAGGCAACCAGGAAGGACAAACAATACTGCTGACGCATTGTCATGTGGGACACGGGTCACGAGTGAATCCACCTATGTGTTGTCTCTATTGCCGTCGTTGATGGCCAACAAGATACAACATCAGATACAAACATGTGCGAAGACATTGATGACGATGCCTCGTATGGATACATTGCTGTCAATGAGAAGTCGTTGTTTTGTAGAGTAATGTTCCTCGCACCCGACACAAGCTGAGCAGATAATGATGAACAAAACGGAACAAATCACAAGGAGCACAAAGTCTACTCCCTGCACTTTGTAGTTCCAGCAACGTATACTGGAACACAAACGTAATTAATTGGGGGAATACGACGGGAGGTCTGGAAAAGAAAGAAAAAGAAACAGAATAAGTACAATGCCCCTTACGACCTTCGAGTAGCTTCGAAAGAATTATGGCAATTCGTAAAGGTAAAGTGCAGTAAGAAAGGGGGTCTTAGTGACTGTGGAGGTTTTTTGCAAGATACTTTGCGTTTATGACGGGTGTCCCTCTGCTAAGCCGGCATAACAAATAAGCCACTACAAACGGAAGTGCAAATGAGTAACTTGCCCTCCAGTTATAAAATAATAATGATGGAAGAGGAATTGAGTTGCTGGGCTACTAAGAGAAACGAACGTCGAACATGAACCACCTTTGGCCACGGCCGATGAAGATGCTCCCTGGCTGTGTGCTGGGAAAAGGATGAGAGATCATGATAGTAATATATATAGTTGCATAATATTTTCGACGGGCCTGTGAATTATTCGAGTCCAAAGTCGGCCAGAAAGTGGGAAGAACATGGCCACGTCTACGAAAGAGGTATGGCAGCACGGTGCATTTCGCGAGTACGTAACGGAGCGTAAATACAACTCAGCCTCGCAGACACCATCGCTGTCCATAGCATTCAGCGCTAGAGTTCGCACTTGTACCCTCTGACTGATGACATGAGCTGTTAGCCCGCATCTGGTTCGAGGTTCTACCTTACAATCATTACTTCTCTTGCGTTTGTGAACTGGCAAATTTCGATTTGCGAGTTTCGATTTATTTATTTTTCGATTTAATTTTACCATCTTCTGGGACTCAACAGCGTTTGATTTACCCAGGAAGGGGCTGAAGGCAACCCAACCAAAGAGACTATTCGCAATGACCACTAGAAAGGAATAAAGAAGCAAACCGGGCTAAACTCTACCGATGGCTTTTTCTTTTTCGTTTTGTTCGAATGCTCGTTCTAATTTTACCGTCGTCTGCGTCCATGCATCATTTTATCCCGCTTTCTGTTACCGTCTAGCCCTTTCAATGCGACGTACGAATGTGTATCTCTTCACTTTTATGGGAAGCGAGCTTGGGCATGACCCAGTTCCGGTTGGTCAGAACCGCCGAGAAGTATCTGTCATTGGAAGCACGGTCAGCATAGACAAACAGACGAGCACACTGAAGTCCGTCGCCCCAATTTTGCTCCTGATCTCATCACAAATCGTTTCTGCACGTTTGGGGCGTGTTGGCGCCCACACTACACCAGAAGAGTACGTTGCCTGACACGCTATTCTCACGACGCCTTTAGCGACGTTTATCCCAACACTAAAAGTGCACCGCACAATGGCCGCTCTATCCGATGTGAGGGAGGTTGGGGTTTTATGTCCAGCGCTCCAACATTCTCACTTGCATCCATCCGTGTCGTCTCTGCGTTGGCTGTGCCTTTTTGCAAACGAGCTCTTTATTGCTCCCTTTACACGAGTGCAACAGAGTCTGTGATCGGTGGCTCCTATTACACGTCCTCGTCCTTGCATGGTCGTCCATGGTCAGCTCACTTGCACAGGATGCTTATCGCCTCTCCCTTCCTTTGGGCCCATGCATTTTCCCCCTGCAGTTGGTAAGGCGGCATGCTGGGGTGATGAGATATTTTTACTTTTTTATAGTTTTCTCGCTCCGCACAGCGCCACGTAAATACGTAAAATGAGACGCGGAAGCCACGGACATCTTTGACCCAGACCTGGTCCAGAGACTATCCCACGGAAGGCCTTATGTTCAAAGCAATGATCTTTATAGCCTCGCTGGTGGGACCACGCCTAATGAATCGGTACCGTTCAGTACGCCTTTGTCACTGCCGATCCTGCTACTCACTTACACAGTATGTCGAAAGGCGTGTGTGCTTTATAATGTGCATCGCCCCGTCCGCCTTGTGTATGGGCGTAAATTTTACAGAACTGTCTAAACAGTGAATGTGCATGGGGTCCGATATTTCTTCTTTGTAAATTTCCACTTTTGTTGACACACAGTTGTGAATGCAAACATCCCCAGGCGAGCCAGGGCCCGAATATTTCCCAACATGTAAATGAAATGGGGCGTAACACATAGAAGCAATGGGAAAGTGCATAAGACAACGAGCAGGAAAAGGACAAGGCCGCTCGGTCACACAAATATAATGCAAGCTAAAATGCAGACCTGCGGGGGGCCAGGAAGGCGGTCTGTTGTCTGTTCATTACCTGAGATACATAGAAAAGAAATATGGCCGAGGGCAACTCTTTCCCTAAGAAGGCACATGGCTGGCTCACCAAACATTTACCCGTTTACCTTGTATTTCGAAAACACTGAGCTCGGCCCTCCAACATTTATAGGGACTGGCCCGGCATTTTTGTATTGACCTCTCCGTCGAGATTTACTCCGTCGGCATCGGAAACAATTACGCCAACACCACCAAACCGAGGGTTCATAGAAGGTGGCATCGAACCTGCCGAGCATGGCGACTTGGATTACTCCGTATTTTACAGACCATTCTCTGGGACTCCTTCGCTTCAATCGTTTGAAACTTGTAAATTGGTTATTGGTTGCCGCTGAAACGCATTTACATGTAACAGTATACACTGCAAACGAAATGCCTGGGCATCGTGCACTGGACGATGCGCTGTGCTGTGGTACTACTTTGTAGTGGCGAACCAAGTCTGCTCATTGCCCAAAACGGAAATAGTTTGGTATCAATGTCATCTGAAGGACGGACTCTGGACGGCAAGACCCACCCACTCAATGTCTGTCCCAATACGGAAGGCACTGTGACCGATGGTGCTCGGAGAAAGAGCGCAGGTGGAAAGCGCAGACAGGGAAAGAACGATGCTGCCGTAAACAGCATCTACCCCCTGTGGAAGAAGAATCCTGCAGATAAACATCCAAATATTGCAATGTATACACATCTCTTCTCAACACCTAGTGACAACAGCTATTACTCAACGCGACGATTTGCGGTGGCGTGTTTCGTCGAGTTTGTTGCTCAGCGAGCCTGTGAACACCCGCCGAAGCTCCACCATCTCAGAGACGAGAACTACGGCGGTGTCAGCGACGAACATCAATAGCACGATTGTCATCGAAGGACGTCAGGATTCACCAACGCGTGTGGCATTACTACAGCCAAATCTACACTGCATTACTGCTGGCACTGGTCGTTTTTCAGCACACTGGTTTGAGAAGCGTTACTGCACCTCCGCGTGCTCCTATGCCGATATTGATGCTGGACAGGCCCATTCAGCAAATGCATTTCCGTGGGTGAATTAACCAGGTCGCTGAGGCACAAAAAGAAGCGTTGCGCCACTAGGCCACCAGATAATTGCCAGTTTGAGCCTCAGCCCAGTAGGCCGCCTCTCTGATGTCCTGATGTCTGTCCGTCCCATTAACACACTCTAATTGTCAAGTGCGCCGACTGCAGATACCTTCGACAGCCACGAACGTGCTTGGCAGCGTTTTGTCCTTGAAAGCTGGAAACAAACTCGGCAAGGGTGCAAGGTGATTGGTAACAAACTACCATTCGCAGCCTAGGACTGGTCCCCCCCCCCGTCCTGGCTGGCTGAGATCAAGGTACGGCACCCGCCTCGCCGCTTCCCGACTCAGACGCCCGTTTTTGTAGTTCCCTTGTTCGAAGTACAGGGTACGTTGGGACAAAGGGTTGTTTAGGTTGTTAAGCGGCCAGATCCAGCCCAGTCCAGCCCCGTCCGGCCACAGCTCAAATCCTTCCCCTCCTTTTGGTTCGCCGTCATCCTGCGCCTTTGGTTCGTTGCTTCTTTGCCACAACGGGTGCAGCGGGACGAGCAGGCCAAGCCTTGGACACCAAACAGAGTCTGGCCGCATGCATCAGCTGGTCGTCGTTGGATAACGGACTAGTTTGCTCTGAGACTGACCTGGTGTCCGATGCTGCTTGTTGGTTTCCTGTCTTGCTCATTCTTTTCTTGCTGTTGTTCCGCCTCCCTTTTCTCGATTCCATTCTTTCTTGTCGTTCAATTTTTTCTTTCCTTTCTTTAACAAGAGGCGGCCGACTTTTTTTATTCCTCGTCCCAGGCCTGCTTATCACTGCTGCCCTAACGAGCACCCTGGCATCATAGCCTCACATCCGTCTCGGATCGTTATCAGTGTGCTTCCCATCTGCTACCCGCCGCTCACACCAAACATCCGAAGACCAACCAGCTCGCCCAAAGCTGGACATCGTTGCGAACCACGCGACTGGCCGGCAAACCGACTCTTACAACGGGGTATTACTGGCAGCCAGCGCAGTTGCTCCATATCATTCGGGTTTCCGTTGTTCCAAAAGGATATCGCCGACACCTCAAACCAGAGTGTATCATTACGTCGCTGTTGCAAGCATAACACACTGCGCACACAAACACAACGCACAACGGCGCCTCTATCTAGCCATCTCTGTGCAGACGATTGTCAAACCTCGCGGCACAAATACACTACCACGCAGGAAAGCTGTATGCATTCTGCGTGCAATCACACCGGACACACTGGTACACGCACACGCTCCAAGCGGACGCACAAGCTCTGCACACCCCTTCCAACCGCCGACGCCGAAACCCCTCCTCTCCAGTTCTACCCATCCTTACCTTTTTTTTTACAAGAGGGGTTCCGGGCCTGTTCGTTTGTAGCAACTGAAGCGCAGACAACTACAACTTTGTTACAAGATAGAAAGCTGTGGCCTGAATGAAGCTTCCGAAGGGCCTTTCAGGGATTCCTTGCAAGACAGGCATTCGGCCTCATTGGGAATTGCTCCGTTGTGTGTGCGTCGTCCCGTAATCTTTTCTTTTGTTCTGTTGGAACGGTTTCCTCCCATCTCACAACGCTGGGGCCCATTCTGTCATCCCCATTCCCATTCCATTTGATTCATATTACTTTGCCCTCATTACCCTCGTTTTGTTCTTTGCAGCCGCCACACACCCATTCACACCAAGCCACCATCAAACCAGCTGCATCGTCTCCAGTGAAGCGGACCACTAAAGGAGGAACGAGGACTGTCCCGCGACCGCTTCTTCATTTCACACTTGGGCTCTGTCACCCTCGCTGTCGCCTTCGTGCATGCATCCGTGCATACATGCCTACCATTATTGCTGCTCGTTTGCCTGACCAAGCACGCTTGCCGACAAATAGTCACACGCCTTTGCCCCAGTCCCTTTGTCGGTTGCCTTTATTGGCAGTCTGCTCGTTTTGTCGCCCGTCTGTTATTTAAGCACATTACCTCGCTCTTTCGTCTCCACGGCTCTGCTGCCTTGCTTGCTTTTGTATGAACAGTTTGCACGACAATACCCTCCAATTGTTCGGTTTCTCCTTTTTATTCTCTGTCTCTGCTTCATCCTGATACGAAGAACTCAGGGTATTGTCGTATTTTCGCTGCGACAACTTGGTTCCTGCGGCTCATCATCGTCTCGCTTTCAGCTGAGACGACGACATTTGCTGTTTCTCCTTTCCCCGGCACCGACGGCATCTCACGATCCGATTACGACCCAAATGGTACATTGTGTCAGAAACGCCAACCCAATACCGTCTCGTTTCGTAGCAGCGACGAAACGAGACCTCTCAAAGAATTTCAAAGAACAATAGAACAACTCTTGTTTTTCGCCTAATTGCCCTTTCCAGCCAGAATCTTCCTTTCTTTTCTTAACCTTTCATTCCTGCCCGAATTACTTCGCTTCAAATCCGACGACTAGTTGCCAGTTGACTGGCGACGAACTTGGATCGCCTGCATCATGGAAGACATAGAGATGTCCAACGAAAGAGACTCGCCAGAGCAAATGGGGCAATTTCACCCATCAGACAATGCGCCGCGTGCGGCTTTTCAACTTCAGTGTCCCTTCTTCGCACACGTGCATCCGATGCCTACAGCTCAGCAGTCCCACGGCCTCGATCCGATGCATTCATACCTTTGGGGACACCCGCAATATCAAGGGCAGCCTTACGTCCCCCTCAACAACGGCGCCATGGCCCAACATTTGTTGCGACAACAACAGTTGCAGCATCGTGCATATTTGTTACAGCACCAGTATTTCCACCATCGCCAGCTTCAGATACAAGAAGCGCTCTATTCGCAGCTTCCACAGCACCTGCCCGACCAAGACGCCGAACGACAGCCTGAACCAGAGCAAGAGCAAGAGCAAGCACAAGACCAAGGGCAGGAGCAGGAGACGGAGCAGGAGGAGGAGGAGGAACAGGAGCAGGAGCATGAAGCAGATCGGCGAAGATCGCAACCACTGACGCCTTCCTTCGCAGCAACGGCGGTATCACCAGCTTCCCTACCGCCATCGCCAAGTGACTCTCTTCGACAAGCACCGACGACTTCTGGTGCGATAGCCGCCAGAAATAATAGCAGTAGAACGTCGGAAACGGCCTCATCAGGCCCAGGGCCCTCAACACCACGGGCCGCCACAACCTCGGAACCTTCTATCGTACAAGGAATTCACCAGCTGTTAAGTGCCGAAACGTATCTTTTATCGCCAACGACGCCGGGGTCACTACCAGCATCTTCGTCACATCCATCGCAACCTTCACTCAATCCGCAACCAAATTCTTTCGCGACCGGTCACTGGCCCCGGCTTGCGGGCCAGCAACCAGCCTCACACCAGCCCTCCGGGTTCACAGCCAACTTTGGCTATCGGGTACTTCCCCAAACACACATTCACGAACATAGACGGCACCGTGACGACGAGCGAAGCTCGGCACAGCAGCAAGCGGCACGGGCACCGACCATGACTGTGACGGCTACAATAAGAATGACAGCTACGACTGCAACTTCAGGCAGGCAAGCCACGCAGGCTGAGGCTTTGGTGCATCAATCGCCCGTAACCGCTGCGGGAACAGCGTCGATATCGTCTTCAGCATTGCCTATGGGAGCAGCGCCGAATCCGATGCCAGCTGAGGCTCCTGCTTCGGCTGGCCCGTCTCAAGAACGACGGGCGTCTGCCAGGCGCTTCTCGAGACGAGATGGGATGGTGAGCCCGAATTACGGCGACTCGCACCCATATGACGGTTCGACTAGTGAAGGCTCTGACTCGGAGGTGTTGCCTCCGCCGTACGTGGTGATCCCATATTCAGACTTTGCGGAAAACTCCGTACGACAGGCTCAAGCCAGTGTGCGTGACGAGCCTACCGAGCGCGCTCGCCACTTCGTTCACAACAGGGGCATGTTTCGCTCCAAGTCGCTGTTTAGTTTGATGAAGCCTGTGAAGATCGATGAACTGGAGGAAGACGACAGGATGTGCATCATCTGCTACAACGACTTTGGTGTTTGCGCGCCCGAGGGCATCGTCGAGCACCCTCTCCGGATGCCCAAATGCAACCATGTGTTTGGTCACCACTGCATCCGGCGGTGGCTGGTACAACACAACACTTGTCCGTACTGCCGCGGTCGCATCGAAGATCCGACAACCGACGGGCACCGTTCAGCATCAGGCAGCTTCCGTCGATTCAACTCAAACCTGCCTTTCGGTTCCCCCTCCCAAAGTAGCCGATTTCCATACCACCGGTCTGGACTCTTTGCAAGCTCCGATATCCGGACTCCGACGACATCGACTGTTGCGGGCACTGGCACGGGTACGGCCAGGACGGACGAGAGCATGAGCAGCTCTCGGCATACAGCTGTTGGAGAACGGAGGCCGGCTTCGTCCATGGATTCTTCGGAACAGCCGCCCCGCCAGCGTGCTCGAACTCGCCACGGCCCGTCCCGCTCTTCGGCCGCTGCCGTCGGCACATATCCGCACAATGCTCTCCACTTCCATGGCAACTTGCAAATGCAAAGCCAGCCGCCGCCCACGTCTCACGCGTCGATGCCAACCTTTTGGCATGTTCCTTTCAATGGTATGCAGTCACCACCGGGTCAGCTGCCTCCAAACCCATTTTTGTCGGCCTCCGATCAGCCCAACGACTACTCGATGCCGTTGCGTCGTCCCAGCCACCCCATGCAGAGTGCACAAACCTTACATACAAACGCCGCCTCTTCCAACACCAATAGCAATAGCAACAGCAACAACAACGGAGGGCCGAACATGCCGGCCTGGGGCATGCCGGTGCTCCCCTTGCCAACGTCGTCGTCGACCGCTGGTTTATCAGCCAACGCCAGCCGGCCGGTCTCTTCGACCCCGTTCAACCACCAGCTCCCGCTATCGCTGCAGCCGATGCCGACGCCGTCTTTTGTCTCCAACCCCGGCATGTTGCACACTCAGCAATCGACGGCCACGTCAGTCTCGGCCCAAACATCGCCGGTGGTGACCCAGCTGCAGGATCTTGCCACCGAAACCAATACATCTTCTAATCACACCGCACCGTAATACAGACCTGTCACCTCCTTCATAATGGCATATAGACTACTCAGAATTGTCCTTATTGGGTTTTTGTATGTTTATGGTTTTGTTTTTTCTGCTTTCATCTTTATTTCTTTGCCATTTTAACTTTTTTCTTTTTTGTCGTTTTGGTCAGTACCTTTTGTGTTTCGCATTTGCATACACCCGCATTCTTTGTCGTTGCATAGCGTTGTCTACATGCACTATTGTCGTATTTGTTTACCTCTCTCTTTTCTTTTTTTCTTTCTTTTGCCTCTAGGCGGCATCATACCAGTCAACGGCGTTTGGATATAACGACACATGCTTTGGGATTCATTCGGTTGCGTCGAAGAACTTGTCTGCATTGGTGAATTTTGCTCGGCCCGATGACTTTTACCCATCTTGTTCACTCTGCTGGCCCTTAAGTTTTGTTCGTTTGTATCTGTTACCAGAAGCATCAGGGGCATAATAAAGTTGCGTTTGGATGACAATTCAATATACAAGCTTAGTCGAGCGGCTGTTATTTACTGAGCCAATGGCCCTCATGTGGTGTCAGCTGTGGTATCAGTTGTTTTACGATTCCAACAGAACACAGTATGAAGTAAGCAATAGTGTGGCAATGAAAAGCGTGTATTTTTTTAGTCCAATGCAATTTGGCTATATGTACAAAAGTTGGTGGTACCAAACGATTCAACGGTTCGGTACACATGATGACACATGGTTGGCAGAGATGCAGAGTCAAAAGCATATCGGCGCAAGACGTCCATCGTCAACCCCCTCCCCTCTCCCCCCCACAACAGCCTCCTCCCTTATAACTTGGCCTTCTCGTCGTCGTCGGCCCCGTGCAGCTCCCGCGCCTCCTGAATCATCGTCCAGGCCAGCTCGGCCAGCGGTTGCCGCGCGTTGGCGTACGACAGCGCAATCTCCGAGCTCGCCTGGCGGCCGGCCACACGCGCCGCAATGCCCTGGCAAATGGCCGCCTGGCGGAAAATGTTAAAGGCGGCGGCCCAGCGCAGCTCGGACGGCGTGGGCGTCCAGCCGGCCTCGGCGGCGTACATGGCGGTGATCTCCTCGGGGGTCGGCAGGCCGGGCAGCTTGCCGGGGACAAACAGCGGGTGGCCGTTGTGGATTTTGCCAGACAGGTGGGCGGTCTGAAAGGGCGTGAGGAGGTTGAGCAGGTCGCTCAGCGGGTGGCCGCGGGTGGACATTTCCCAGTCGAGGATGCCAATGACGTCGGGAAACGTCTTGTCAAACACCATGTTGTCAATCTTGTAGTCGCCGTGGATCAGCGTGGAGCGGTCCCGGGGCTGGTAGCGGGGGTCGCCGAAGAAGGCCATGGTCGCCTCAAAGTGCGGCAGCGCGCCGACGGGGACGCCCGTCTCCTTGTCCTTGGTGCCGGCCTGGGCGGCGCAGATCTGCTGCCACGTGGCAACCTGGCGGTTGTAGAACCCCGCGGGCTTGCCGTAGTTGGCCAGGCCGACGGCCGCCGGGTCGACGCGGTGCAGGCGCGCCAGCGCCTTGACGGCGGCGGCCCACATGGCGCGGCGGCGGGCCGGGTCGTGCTGGATTTCGTCGTCGGGGATGGCCGGGTCCTCGATGATGCGGCCGTCGAGGAAGCTCATGACGTAAAAGGGCGTGCCGATGACGCTCGCGTCCTCGCATAGGCAGTAGGTACGGGGCACGGGGACGCCCGTCTGCTTGGCGCGCTCGGGGCTGCCGCCGAGCGCGGCCAGAATGCGGTACTCGCGCTCGACCTTGTGGGCCGTCTTGGAGACGAGCTGGCCTGGGGGCTTCTTGCGCAAGACATAGCGGGCACCGGAGGGAGCGGTCAGCTGGTAGGTCGGGTTGGACTGGCCAAAGCCGAACTAGACGACCGGGGGGGTTAGAGATGAGGAGGACACAAACAAATGTGATCAGGGCGCACGGAGGAGCGACAAAGACAAACCTGCTTGATCTCAAGAGGAAGCTCAACCTCCGGCACGTTTTGCCGGAGGTAGTCCTCGAGCTTCTTGAGGTCAATGGGATGCCGCACGGGGCCGGCCATTGTGGTGATACGGAAAGGCGACAGAGAAGAGCGAAGTCGTCTCAAGAAAGGATGAGGACGACGGCGAGGAGAGAGAGGAACGAGAGCGTGCAAGATGCAAGGGAAAGGCAAGGAGGAGAAGAAAACAAAAAGAAATAAAAAAGACAGGAACGTCCCAGGAAGAGACCCAACCACGTCGTCCCTTGCCTTGTGTTGTAATACCAGTCCGTATCCGCCAGATGTGTCTTAGTTTGGACCAAAAAGGCTGCGCAAGGGTTTAGGTATTGCCGAGGACATAAACGTTTAGAAAAGACAGAGAAAAACAAGAGTCCAAGCTTCGTTTTGGGTGCTGTTTCGTCGCTCCTTCTGTTTTTCTGTTTTTCTGGGATAACGAGGTTCAATTCACAACTATGGGCTTACAATGGCAGGCGCGGCCGCCGTCCCTGCATATTACGTCTGGCCCGCCGCAACCAGCCGAGGTATCGGATCTCTGATCTTTTGGGGAAAGAAGGCCATTCTCTTTCGGGAGGAAGGCGCGTGAGCACGGTACGGGAAGAAAAGCGGGGACGTCTTTGACTGGTTGTCCACATCTTTGGGGACTCTTGGCCCACTTATTTCTCTCGCAGCTGTTTGAGTGTTCAAAGCCGCCCAATCCACCCACTATAATTTTGTACACCACAGCGGGTTACGATATCCGGCGCGCACTGCACAACTCTGCTCAAAATCGTCCTCACGAAACTACGACTCATGGGCCGGGGAACAAGGCGAATCATTGTGCTGGTAAGTTAGCCTTGGCCGTCTGGCCGAACACGTTCTTCTTTTGACACAACTGTGTAGTCATTTGCTTGTCTTGTTCCCAATTCGTCACGGCCTGCTTCATGCATTTCTTGATCTAATAGGATGCAATTCTATTTTTTTATTTTACTCATAACTTTTTTTGTACTTGATTCGGCATCGACAACACGCCGGCTCTACACAGTTGTCCTATTATGCCTGCCCATATCCCGTGCTTCTTCCCGACCCTTTCCCGTTGCAACAAAACGCCCCGGCATATTAGCATGCAGAGAAAGAAAGACGCATTAGACAACAGAAAAACAAAAAATGAGAGGTAGAAAAACAGAAACATCGCCCAGCCTGTTACATTGAAAAAAAAATGAATAAAAAAACCGTTTTCCATTTTGATTGCACATCGCCGCATTGCTATATTGTACAGCCCATAGATTGGGTATTAAAGGGAATCAAGTGCTTCAGGGATGCGCACCCCTGTCTTAGTCGACTTCTTCGATATCGTCGTCGCTGAGGTACAGGTTGTACATGGGCAGCCCCGGTAGCACATCCAGGTCGTCGGCGTCGTTGGCCTGCATCTTGCTAGCGCGCCCATTCGCCGGCGGTGGCGGAGGTGCGGGTTGTCGCCCATAGGCCTGCAGCGGCCGCCGCGGCTTGCGGGGGCTCGACTGCGAGTCGTCCGTGGGCCGGTCGGTGGCCCAGGCGTCGTCGCCCATGCTCATGCCAGCGCCAATGCCAGAATTTGCGTCAGCAGCGTCTTCGTCGGCATCGTCGTTGCCTGTGGCCGCCGCGGCCGCCCCGATACCGTGGAACGAGACCACTTTTTCGAGGTCGCGCATGCCCATGGACCCGAATGAGCAGCGCTTGCTGCGGGCGATGAGGGCCATGTAGGGCAGGCGTTCGAGCAGCAGTTCTTTTCGTGCCGAGCTGCCGAGCGAGAGGAGCGGTGGTGGTGGCAGTGACGATGAGGTTTGTGACGGTTTCTCCGTCTTCTCGGAAATATTGGCCAAACTGCTCGCGCTGTGGTCCGAGTCCTCCTTCTTGATGACAATTCCCTTTCGGTCGGCGTCATCGTTGGTGGTTGCCACACGTGCTTGGCTCGGGCTCGGGGCAAAGCCCGATGCCTGGCTGCTGCTGTTTCCGTTGCTGCTAAACCGCGGCGCAGACCGGCGGAACGACAGCGCCCGGTTGCCCCCGCTCTGTTGTGTCGACGGTGGACCACCGCCTTGCTGAACCACCTCACCCCGAAGCAGTTTCGACGACCAGACGTCAACCAACGCCTCCATCTCTTCACGGCTCCGCCACAGTTTGAGGCTCATCGGATAAAACATCTTGAACTGGTTGCCGCCTCCGCCTGCGCCCACGCCCACGCCGCTGCCGCCACCATTCCCGCCGTCGCCTCGTTGGTAGTGCCCGCCCGACGACCGCTTGACGGGCGACGGCAGCGAAAAGAGCAGGCCACGGACAGCCACCTGGAAAGCCATCTCGTCCTGCCGCAATACGTGGCTGCCCGAATCGCGTCCAAAATTCGACCGGTTCGAGCCGCGTCCGCCAAAGAAAATGTCCCACGTCGGGCACAGCAGGTCGCTCTCAGATAAATACTCGATGCAGCCATTTAAATAGTCGACGGAAGACATGGGATCGTGAGGCCCCGTCTGCTCGCACGACAAGGCGTAGTTCTCGTGCAGGGCGGAAATAAAGGTGTGGGTATCGGTGCCAATCTCGTCGATAAGCGTATCAGCGGCGACGAGCGTGCGCTTGGGCCGGGCGTGGTGCGCAAAATAGTCTGGCAGCATCTCGGCCAGGGCTTCTTCAGTGTCGGGCGGCCGCGGCAGATCTTCCCGCTTGTTGTAGACGACCTTGCCAACCGCATGGAAGACACCGAGGCTGGCTTCGCGCTGCGAGACCATCTCAAGCGTCTCACGCTCGCCCTTGGTGAGGGCCGCGTCCTTGGGTCCCTTGCGGCTTTTCGTAAACGCCACCTTGGCGCCCCAGTCGCCCTGGTCATCGCCCTTGACGCAAAGGAACTCGAGCGACGCCACAGCGCTCCGCACGTCGCCGACCTCGCCAAGACGCTTGAGGACCAGCGGGCCCGGCGTTCGTCGCCGGCCCGACTTCCTGGCCTCTTTCTGTACAATCAGCTCCAGGGCCTTTGCGAGGAGCGACGGCGCAATGGCGTTAAACTCGATGAGGCCAGTGC